GTTCCATCCCCACCTAGGTTTCTCCTATTGGTCCTTATCCCGTATTTTATCATAGCCTAGTTACTATATGATCTCAATGCCTAGGTTTGAGTCTAGATATCATTTCTAATATCTAAATCCCTCAAACCACTGCTCTGATACCATATTTGTAACACCTCGGTTACGATTTCACCAAAATATAACATACGAGATATCATTTTCTAAGTAAACCACCAAAAGCTAATTATACTTTAATAAGTATTTCCAAATCCAAAACGAAAGCTTACAATCTTATAATTAAAACATTTACCAACCAAWAATCGGGACAACATAATAACTACCCGGATATATTTACAACCCAAAATAGAAACTAGACATAATTATATATATATATATACCAAGGTTTGGCAACGATCCCCAACTAATCACGAACTAACTACATCGGGTTCTTGCCTTTATCTTCTTTCTTTCCTTAAAAAAAAAGTGAACTAACAGAATAAGCACATGGCTTAGTGAGATAAATAGTCTAAACAAATKHTATTRAAATCAAGTCTATACAAATACACGGGAACCATAAACCAACCAATTGAATGGTTATATCAATGAATAATAAATTGAGAGTAACACTTACGAAATAAGGGTTGTCTATAATATAACCAAAGACCAAGTGCCAGAATCCAACAATTCACATGACATAACATGCTTATTACGAAATGCAAATTACAAGTAATCATCAAATGATACCAGGTCAATTCCTTTGCAAGGTACTAATATCATACGTTAGTCAAACGGTCTAAAGAAACATGTCGGAATAACCAAACAATGGAACACATAGGACTAGCAGGGAGCCCATCGTCACTGGGTATGCTCGAGCTCCTATGGTTCATGGAATACAATGCTTAGGACTGGCAGGGAGCCCGCCTTCATCTCCCGGGTATGCCCGAGTCCCTGTACTCGTGCCTCTCTTCACATTAGGCACCGAGTACGGCCAACAGACAACGAGAATGACTAGAATGTCTCACCAGTTCCTCCCCCTTCACCGGCATGTTGACATTCACCGTTTTCGGGACGGATCACACAAAGTAATCCCCGTACTTCCGGTTTCACAAGAAATCAAAGAAACAATACCGACGGAATATATGGATATCCAAACCGACCGACATTTCGAAAGAATTCGTAATYGAGAGATCAATACGTACAAAGACAAAAGACCAATAAAAACCGACTCTAAAGTCATAGAAATCACATACATGTAGATGGCACATAAATACACACTTAATACAATAATATTTGAATAGCTATTTAACTCACCTCACGACCGAATGTCAAATACGGTCAAACCGAACGACAAATGACCAACCTTGCAATYCAACTATAAGATACCCTCCAAAGGACTCAAACAAGCTTAAATTATCCCCTGGAGTTCATATATCAAATTTCGTAAGCATTGGTACAACCAAACACATTTTATYAWCTTAATCATGTCATAAGCTAACTTTAATTATATGCTGCARCTYTGTTTTTAACCTCTGTTTTACCTCACTTAAACTCAAAATCACACTTTGACTTCAACAGATGGATTAAAGTAGAGATGTATATCTTTCCAAATCCGCTGACCTCATATTTTTCTGATTTTTTTATGATTTTCTACGATTTTTACAAAACAGTGTTGTAACATGACTTTCAAACTCGAAAAATCATACTTTTATCCAAATAAGTATCCAATTCCATTCCAATCCTAACCAAACTCAGATGTTAACTTCATTTTATCATCATCAAGGTAAAATCAACAAGAAACCATGGTTCATTCATCCATTTCTACCAATTTCATCAAAATTCATCTTTTGTATAACAAATAGTCAACTTATTCATAGTGAAAACTCACTTATTTCTTACCATCTTCTTGCATATCAACCATATAATCAATGAATTAACTAATGTATATTCATAATCTGAGCATAATATCACAATTTCTACACTTATCTTACACATGCATTAAGTTTATATCACCCAAATGTCATCATACTTGTTACAACTTCAAGAACAAGAACAATGATTAGATTACCTTCAAATTGTTGTGTAATCATTCAAAATAACATTATATTCACCAACATAAAACCATAATCTTACAAAATCATCCACTAATTACAAACATGCAAAACCCTAATTTCCTTGATTGACACTAATTGCAAAGATTAAACTTAGTATTAGGAGTATACCTTCAATAATATTCACATATTCATCAAGAATTCATCACTTGATCTTTGATTCTCCAAGAATTGAAGTTGTTTGAGCTTAAGTGTGTGTAATTCGCACCTTTACTGTGTGTGCAAGTTATGGGACTGAAAATGGCCTAAAATGGGGTCTAAAATCGACTTTTCTAGGTTAAATCCGAGTTGGGTCGGGTTTGACCCGCCTAAGTACCCATTTTGACCACTAAACACTAAAAATAACATAACTTTTCGCTCGGAGCTCCATTTTCGATGAGGTTTTCGCCTACGCGTTCATAACGAAATAATCTACGACTTACAATAAAAATATTCCAGAAAAGATCTTATTAAAAAAAATTTGGTTTTACGAATCCATAGCTTAATTGTTGACGTTTTGACTCGATTTCTCCAATTTTCTCAATCTAACTCCGATTGGGATGAAATTTTCTAAATCCTCTCATATACTCCAAGGAAATATGACCTTAAAATTTCATCCCCAAACTCCCACTAAATCATTGGTTACCTTATATGGCCACTACTAATACACGTAGTAAAATTTCAACATGCTTAACATTTTCTCGCATGTAAGCACATAATATCCTTCGTAAAATGTAAATTAGGCGCACTTAGCAAATAATATGGGAAATTAGAATTGGGATGTTACAAATTCGACTTAACTGAAATGGTAAGGAAAAAAAAAACTAAAATTGAATCTTTTAAGCCGAAAACCAAATAACTCGAAACCATTTTGGTTTAGATGGGTTCTTCGATTTCAAAAAAAGAAATATACAATCCTAAATCTGACTTCATTCATCTAAGTTTCTAGATCCGTCACTGCTTATTAAATAAGCATGACAAAGACGAAAATTTTATCCGATAAGAGGCATGACAACAAACCGATCATCTTATCCGATGAGTTGACGTTTATAAATGATTTATTTTAATAGGAGATAATCATTTAATAAAGGATCCTTAGTTTATATCTTATTTTAATAATAGGTAACGAAATAGATATTTATATTACCCGGATCCTTTTTTTTACTTATTAAAATAAGGGATATTAAAAGAATAAATGATAAACGATAAGAAAACTATTCATTTTAAATTACAAATTATATTAATAAAAAATCAATCATATAAAATATACAAATACATTTTTTTAAGTTTTTATAAAAAAACCTTAATTATTATCTTAAACTTGATACAGAATAGTTTTTTAATATAATTTATTAATTTTTTAATTAAAATTTTATAATTATAAAGTTTTTAGATTTTTTATTTAATAAGTTGAAAAATAATACGAAAAAACGAAAGTAAAAAATATGGTTCTCACAAGAACCTCCGTTGAAATGCTCTATTGAAGTCGAAGAGTACCAAAGCTATGACTTTGAATTATTTAGAACCCTAAATCCGTCATGAATGCATCACCACTTACTTCAATCTCTCCGGTTCTGCGCCACCCACCGCCGCCCATCTGACGGCAAGACTCTCCATGCCCACATCCACAAGATTGGACTCGACCAATATGGAGCCCTTCCCAATACCCTCATTTCCATATACGCCAAATGTGGTCTCATCAAAGACGCCCTCCAACTGTTCGACCAAATGCCTCACCGAGACCAAGTTTCATGGGCCTCTATTCTCACCGCTTACAATCAATCCAACCTCCCTAACCGTGCTCTCTCCGTCTTCGCCCATTCATTTTTTCGCGATTGCTTGCAACCTGATCACTTCATTTTTGCTAGCTTGCTTAATTCTTGTGCTGCCTTGAACGCTTTACAGATTGGACATCAAGTTCATGCCCAATTCGTGCTGTCCCCGTTCTCATCTGACGATGTCGTCAAGTCGTCTTTAGTTGACATGTATGCAAAATGTGGATCGGTGGACGTTGCACGAGCTGTTTTTGATACCATTTCTTCGAAAAATTCGATTTCTTTGACTGCTATGATTTCTGGGTATGCCCGAAGTGGAAGAAAATCAGAAGCTATTGAGCTTCTTAGAAGCATGAAGGAAGCAAATCTGTTCTCATGGACTGCTTTGATCTCCGGATTGATACAAAGTGGACATTGGGTCGGTGCCTTTCATCTCTTCATTGCAATGAGAAAAGAAGGGATCAAGATTATCGATCCTTTTATTCTTTCAAGCGTTATCGGAGCTTCTGCTAATCTTGCAGCATTAGAACTCGGTAAACAAGTTCATTGTTTAGTTCTGGGACTTGGTTTTGAATCCAGTTTATATGTTAGTAACTCACTTGTTGATATGTACGCAAAATGTAGCGATATTATCGCTGCCAAGACTGCGTTTAACAGTATCGTTAGAAAGGACGTAGTCTCCTGGACTTCAATAATAGTGGGGTTGGCTCAACATGGAAAAGCTAAAGAAGCATTGGTGCTATACAATGATATGATCTCCACTGGACTCAACCCAAATGAGGTAACATTCGTTGGCTTAATTTATGCTTGTAGCCATGTCGGTTTAGTTGATAAGGGCCTTGAACTTTTCAAATCTATGGTCGAGTATTACGGGTTAAACCCTTCGCTCCAGCACTATACTTGTTTATTGGATCTTTTTAGTCGATCTGGGCATCTTGATGAGGCCGAAAACCTCCTTAACACCATGCCTTTTGATCTTGATGAGGCTGTTTGGGCTTCCCTTTTAAGCGCTTGTAAGCGGCACGGAAAAACCCAAATGGGAACCAGAATCGCTGATCGTTTGATGGGGTTGGGGCCAAAAGATCCGTCAACATTCATACTCTTGTCGAATGCTTATGCTGGTGCTTCTATGTGGGAAAATGTAGCAAAAGTTAGGAACTTGATGGCAACCATGGACGTCAAGAAGGAACCTGCTTATAGTTGGGTTCATTTAGGGAAGGAAAGCCAGGTGTTTTATGCCGGCGAACCATCTCATCCGATGAAAGATCAGATGTCGGTTTTGCTTAAAGATTTAGATGACAAAATGAGGAAAAGAGGGTATGTTCCTGATACTAGTTATGTTTTGCATGATATGGGGAAACAAGAGAAGGAAAACCAGCTTTTCTGGCATAGCGAGAGGCTCGCAGTGGCATATGGGCTGCTTAAGAGCGTCCCTGGATCGGTCATCCGTGTTGTGAAGAACCTTCGTGTTTGTGGAGATTGTCATATGGTTTTAAAGTTGATCTGTAGCATTGTTGGACGGGAAATCATAGTTCGTGATGCCAGCAGGTTTCATCATTTCAAAGACGGGAGATGTTCGTGCTCGGATTTTTGGTAATGGACAGTGGTTTTCTAACGAACAAAATCAATTTTCTACAAGTTTAAAATGGATGGTTATCTAATGGAGTTCCCAATCAGTAGATTTGATGCACGATAGTCAGTACATGTGTGGTAAGGGGTATTTATGAGACTCGAACTGGTTTTGAGTTAGTCAAGACATATGCTCGTGGGAGTGGGCACATCTAAACTTGATTGGTTTTTTGGTCAGCAAGATAAGATCCCACCATGCCGGTTCACATATGAGATCTCAAATGTTCATGTTTAAACGTGAAGACCTCTATTTTATGAGAATGCAAGAACACTCTTATCACATGTGATAATATGCGTGAGGAGACGCAGACGAAGTGTTCTACGACTTAGGCCGCACCAAAGGTTGTTTGCGTCTATGATTTAGCATCATATATGATGGTCTTGATGGATTATAGTATCATATCAACACCACCCTTTTGGGTGTAAAGTGTAAACTATCTTTCCATCTGCTCTCCGAAGAAATTGTGACTTACCCTTTACAACAAATTTATCACCTTTCATAAAATGAGCTGTCTACAAACTTATATCATCATTTTCTTGTAGCATTTCAAGTTGTAATTCGATTTGTTGGACTCTAAAGACACATTTTTCTCTCTTATCTATTCGTTGGAAGCAAATTGCGATCTTCTTCGGCAACATGTATGAATCATCTTGATTTCCCTCCGACACAAATAGACATTAATTCCTTATCATAAATCCGTCTTGTTTCGATCCCTAGCAATGCCCGAGAAAATTTGAGATATGTCAAGTTAAGCCCTCAAGTTTTCATAAATGAACCTTGGAACTTTGTTTTTATGATGGAGCTAGTATGATAAGGCCCGGGCTTTTTGGGCATAGTCCCTGGACTTCCAAGCCTGTTTTCCGATAAAGCAGTTGGAAGACATGGAGGGTATCAATTCAAATTTTTTGCCTAGACGAGATATGCCTGTAAGCAAAAAATAAGGTTGAGGCTTTTTTTAGCATGGGTCGGATTAGAAAATGACTCAATTGGGATTTTTCATACTGGATTATTTTGAATTTTTCCGAGCCAGGCCTGCCTCGAGATCTGCCTAATTGGGATTTGAGGGCTGGCTTAGACCGTGCTTTGTTCTTACTAGGCATAGGCTTTTTCAGACAAGACTGCAGGGGCTGTTTTAGCAATTGCTGAATGATTTGATGCAAAATGATTAAGTGGTCAGAATAATTAAGAGACTTTCATGATATAGTGCAAAATGAAATATAATTGTTTAATAATTACGTACAGTGAAATAAGGGCTTCTTAATGATTAAGAGAGATCCATGATACAAAATCATTCAGAGGGTTTCAAAACCATTAAGAGACAGACTTTTTTTTTGCCAAACAAGATTCACCTTTTAACGATTCAGAAGTTGTCTCTTAATGGAACTATTAAGAGGTAAACAAACAGGCTTACACTTTTTTGTGCATCTCTAATTTGGAAGGACGTTAGTGTAACTCTAAAGAAACTCAGGGGGTAAAAATGTACATAACAAGAAAAAGGGTGCCATTGTCCACACGACGTCGTTTTGCTGTTGAAATACGACTATCTGTAGCAGGTAAAGAGTCAACTGTCATCGTCTTCTCTAAACGACTCCGATTTGGGGGTTTTCAGAATCTTCAGACGGTACGGCCGTAAATCTCCAAGATGGAAGGAAATCAGTCGGCTTCCGCCGGTGGAGGTGGAGGAGGGCCGGCGCCTTTTCTTCTCAAAACGTACGATATGGTTGACGACTCTTTGACGGACGAAATCGTATCGTGGAGCTCAAACAGGAACAGTTTCGTCGTATGGAACCCTCCTGAATTCGCTCGTCTCTTGTTACCAACCTATTTCAAGCACAACAACTTTTCCAGCTTCATTAGACAACTGAATACTTATGTAAGGGATCGCTATTAATATTTTATTTACATTTTCTCAGTTTTAATTCAACTGTTTAGATCAAGTTTGACCTACTTTATCTCCATTGATTTGTTCATGTATGAATCGTTTATTTTGTAGAATATTTGATTAATCAAGTATTTATTTGATCATGGGAAAGGTGTTTCTCTGTTACAGACAAATTTAGTTCCAGAGATCTCTAAAAAATAGGGTATTTCTCGAGAAAAATTTAGGGTTATGCTTGATGGAAGCAAAATAAACGATGGTGGATTTCTCCCTTAAAATGACGTGAAATCTTTTAGCTTGCTGATACTTGTCATTATGATTTGCGTCTCTGGTTATCAATGATGAGTAACCAAACAAATAATCTCAAGGTCTTGCCTCAAAGTTGAAATGGTTTATCTGGTTCGCATCATAATGCAAGTGTTCAAATATGCTCCTAGAGTAGTAGAATTTATATTGTTAAAGATGGCTTATTGTGTATTAGTTTTCTTGGATCATGGGTAGGTAGTTCTCCATGATCTGGAAAGGATATGAATTTGCTGTTTCTCCAAAGGGTGTGTCCGAGATACTCTTAGTCTTACGGGTGGTTTACTACTTGTTTACCTCCTCGAGTAAGAGGCGCTCACCCGGTCAGAGGTGCTGCTGTTTATCAAACCCCTATTACCAGTCCATGATGCTGACCTAGTAAGATATGGGAGGACTCTTACTACAAGAGATGAGAGTGATTAGTGCTGAGACTACGTTTTCACCGAGTTAGCGCTTACCCAATTTGTGTTGGTAAACGGCCTCTTAGACTTGATAACAATTTATGCTTTTGATTTTTCATGTTTTTTTGTGTTCTATGGGTGTTTTTCACGTGGGAGCAAATCAGCAAGGTCGATTACATGGTTCCTGATTGGAGTTTGCTACAATCTTCACGAAGGGACTTTAAGGAAGGAGTGATGGGTGTCTTTGCAACCCTTAATCGAATATATAGCGGAAGTTACTTGTTGAAAGATGCCCAAAATCTAATATAGTGTACGTGTTATGTGCATTCCCCAGTGATGATGCTTGATGGAATTGTTTTGAATGTATCTGTTGGTTGCTATTCTGCACAGGATCTTGTGCAGGTTTCACATGAACATGTGGATTGGGGTTGTAGCCATTAACGTCAAATTATTTACTATGAACATATGTAGATTTGGCTAATATGTTTGCAAATTATTACTAATACTATGGATTATATATTGTTTTTTTCTGGTTGAGCTTCTGTTCTAAGAGCTTGTGTATAATGAAATTAAACGTGCAATTAATCTCCAGTATAATTGATGAAGTTGAATGGTTTTGTTTGACAGGGTTTCAGAAAGATCGATCCTGAAAGATGGGAATTTGCTAACGAAGAATTTGTGAAAGATCAAAAGCACCTTCTGAAGAACATTCATCGTAGAAAACCCATTCATAGCCATAGTATTCCTCAATCTTCAACAGTTGATCCTGAACGAGCAGCTTTTGAGGAAGAAATCGACAAGCTTACGCGTGAGAAAACTTCACTTGAAAAAAGCGTCTCTAGGTTCAAACAACAACAACCCGCTACAAAACTTCAACTTGAAGACCTTACTCAGCGTGTGAACACCATGGAGCAGCGGCAAGATACCCTGCTAGCGTTTATGAAGAAAGCGACACAAAATCCCGAATTTGTCGAGCACCTTGCTCGGAAACTGGAATCCATGGATTTTTCAGCCGAAAACAAGAAGCGGAGATTGCCACGCTCTCGGGTTTTCCCAGATGATGGTCTTGTAGACAACCACAGCCCTCAGAGCCCCTCTAGACCAGATTTCGGGAACGTTTTCCACCATGATTTCTCAAACAAGCTTCGGCTCGAGTTATCACCAGCCGTTTCAGACATCAACTTCATTTCAAACAGCACTCAAAGCTCCAATGAAGATGGCGGAAGTCCACAAATTCGATTATTCGAAGGCTGCACCCGGACCCCACCTGGCGGGCTCCCATTTGCACCAGAAACTCAAGAGCTTTCTGACACCTGCACATCATTCGGTTTCAACATGGAATCTTCTTTCATGCCCAAGACCGGGCCCTGCAACAATCCAAGTGTCCGTTGCTTGCAGCCACCTATCGTGGATGCTAACGAAGAAAGCGACGGCCATTTATCCTGCCAGTTGAATCTCACATTGGCATCTTGCGTATCACAGATCAACCCATGTCAAGAAACCGATACAATCCCACCATCATTTGAGGATATCGGAAAACCGTCAGAGTGGACGGCCAATGCCAGAGTTCCAGAAAAGAACCGATCATCACTAGTGGGTGAAAACGAACCAACTAAGCCTGCACCGCCTGCAACCTCCCAGGCTCGGGTTAACGATGTTTTCTGGGAGCAGTTCTTGACCGAAAGACCAGGTTCTTCTGATGTCGAGGATGCAAGCTCGAATCTGAAGTCAACACCATCGTATGAACAAGAAGACCGAAGATCGGGCCATGGATCATTTGGGAATTCAAGAAACATGCAGAATCTGACTCTTTGAGGTTAAATATCCAGGTTCGTTTTATGTAATTACTTCCAATTCTAATCTGTAGTTTGAATAAGATATTGTGATGAACGAAATAATTGCCCGTTGATTCGGGTTAAACAGACAGGTTATTATCATAATTATATATTATTACACGACTCTCAATTACATACTTTGGAGCAAATATGATATATATCGAGAGAAATTCATATGTGAATCGTTGAAACAATGCATATGAATCATATGAGTTCACACATGCCGGTTGTTTCAATTATTCACATATGAATCTTCCCTCCTCCTTCTTTCGAGTGGCATATACTTTGTACGTTTAGTTTAGATTCTTTTTGTTGCAAGCTGAAGGTATTTGGAGAGATTTGCGTACTTACCTTCTGGACTCTACTTCTGGATGAGATATTACTAGATATGTTTGCTTTGTTTTTTTCTTTTGTTTTGGATTCACTATTCATATTGGAATTTGGGTTGCTTACTTATAACTTAGTAAGCTTCATGTTTGGATAGCTTATTCGTTCAGCCATACACGAGTGTTTCTTTACGGTTTAATCGTTAAGCTATTAAGCCAAAATGACTATATTGAATAAGTCAAGACCTCTCACTATTCCCTGTTAAGTAACCTCAAACAAATTAGTACTAGAGATGCTCTAGAAAATAGAAATAATCCAATCCTCTTTCTTTGCCTCCCTCAAGCACGAAAGTCTCCTGTTCAAGGGACAGACAAATTTATTAGATAGATGACTTAAACCTAGGGGTGGCAATGGGTCAAGTTAGGTTGGGTTCGGGTTCAACCCATTTAATTAAATGGGTTGAGATTTTTCAACCCAGCCCAACCTTATTACCTAAATGGGTTGACAGCGGGTTGATTTGTTTACGATTTTCTTAACCCAATCTGTTAAATAAATGGGTTGACCCATTTAATTTTAAAATTTTAAATAAAAAAAGGACTAGACTATTTATTTTTGAATAAAACACAACCATAAATACAAACAAATTGTTCAAAGTTTGAATAAAACACAACCACAACAAATATATTGTTCAAAATAAGTTGGATTGGACTTTGGAGGCGATAATGGACTAAAGAGTTTTCTTAGGGTTTCATGATGATTAAGAGTAATGGAGGAGATAATGGAGTAATGTACTAAAGGGTTTTCTTAGGGTTTCATGATGATTAAAAGTAATGGAGGTGATTGAAATTTGGAGTTTCATCTCACGTCGATAGGATTCTTAATTAAGAATAAAACAAAATTAAAAATTAGAATACTATATATAATATTAATAATAAAATAAAATTATATAATATAATATTTTAAATGAGTTGAAAATAGGTCAAAAAATTCAACCTAACTCAACCCATCCCTTAAATGGGTTAAGCAGGTTAATCCATTTATTTAAATCCGTAAACAAACCCTTACTAGTTCACGACCTTTTACAATATAAATTGCATTTAATAAAATAAAATTTGATTTAGATATTTGGTATGATGAGTAAATCAATATAACAAAGTTCTAATAACATCCGTAACAGAGGTTTTTTTTGGGGGTTTTACAAGAATCTTTTATTATGGGACAAAGATTCTTGTCCAGTCACATATTCTTATTAGAACTTAGAGGGTGTTTGGTTCATGGAATTTAGTGGAATTGGAATGTCCAAATCTTTGACCAAATTCCAAATCCCATGTTTGGTTCACATAATAGATGTGAAGGAATCCTTCCAATTCCAACCAATTCCCTAATTCATTGATTTCACAATTCCACCACATATACCACGGATTTCAAATTCCAATCCGATAAATTCCTTAGCCCTCATCCATTCATCGACGCTGTATCTCGATTTGCTCTGTTCTGCTATGCTCGATCTCCTTTGCTTGATCTCGTTTAAAACTAAGAATGACAACGGGCCAGGTTCGGGCCGGTTATTGGTATCCCCGTCCCAGAAACCGATAACTAAAACCGTCCCCATGACCGCCCTAATCCCCGTCGGGGATCTTATCAGGTCTCGCGGTTTCCCTGATCCCCGTTGGGGAACTCGTTAAGGTAAAAATCCTCTTTTTCCCGTTCACCGTTGGTTGTAAACCGAACCCGAAATCGAAACCCGAAACAAATCTAAAAATCCCCGAATTTAATATTATATATATATATATATATATATGTATATGTATATGTATATAAATTAAAATTAATATACATAAACATATCAGGCGGGGCCGGGCCGATGATCACCGTCCCCGCTCCCGTCCCGGTTAAAATCCCTGAATTTGTCCCCGATTCCCGCCCCGTCCCCGATAAGATGTCCCCGAACCCAGCCCGAAAGTTTCTCGTTGAATTCCGTGAACGAAACAAAAAAATTCCAATTCGGTTAAGAATTTCATTTCAATTTCATCCAACCAAACGCAATCAAAAGACATGATCAAATTCCATCGAATTTCATTCTGTTCCCTCAAAGTCAAATTCATTTTATGAATTTCAATTCTATTGAATTTCATTCTACGAACCAAACGCCCCCTTAAGTGATTGAAAAAAACTCGAGTTTTTGTTTACTTTCCTTTTCTGTTATTGTTTTATTTATTATTTTTGCTATCTTTTAACCATTTTATTTTTTTAATAAATCTACAAAACATGTAAGTTAAAAACTGATAAAAAAATTAAGTTTAATTTTTAATTATCTCATTATATTATTTTATTTAGATTATTTTTCATATACTCTTTTATATATAATTATAAATTAAATTATACATCGTAAATTAATAATTATAAAATATATCTTCTATTTTTAAATAAATATACCAAAATTGTTATATAGATGTAGATGTAGATATAGATATAGAGGCAAAGGATCATGTGATAATGGAGGTTACGGTGAGAAGCATAAGAATAAATCTGAACTCTTTATCATTTTTAATCTCATGTCCACTCATATATTGCGGTTTAGAAAGGAATTGATCTGGTGCATCTCGATGCAGCTCATTAGTATTGACATTCAATTAGAATTGATTTAAAGGTGGAGATCTCTTATTATGCTTCTCACTGGAACCCAACCCTAGATTAGATACAGATGTCACCATATGAATCATTCCTCACACCTATCCTTCAAAGAAAATGGAAAAAGACACTTAGAATCAAGAAGATTCTTTTCCATTTCCTCGACGTTCTACTAGACTTGTGATATGTAAATTTTATTATTTTTTATATATTTTATTATTTTTTATATATTTTTATTTGATATTCTGTTAATTTTATAAATTATAACATTTGATTACGTGGATGTCTGTTTAGAGGGTAATTACAACATAAGAGACAAGAAACTTGACATCCATATTTGTCGTAAGTGTTGAATAACGAATTCTTTATATGTTAATTAAACTCTATACAGTCTTCACACAATTTTATAAACAATTATTCTCGTATTGGATTAAAAAATAAAGATGTGTATGTACGAAGAAAAACGACATCGCCCCTTTAGACTCTTCTATAAGTTTTCTTGATCCAACGGTCAAGATTTCTTATTAGTCTTCTCAGTTTTCTTACTGGAAACCAACTCAATAATATAAAACCTTCTTTTAAAAGGATCGTGCAGTGGGTGTGTCGGGTTCGAAAGTCTATCCTCTTCTTCCTCCTGCCGAAAAAACAGTATAAAATCTTTAAGATTCATATATTTCTACTGTATTGAAACTTTATCACTGACAATCGAATTAAACATTCCTTTAAATTTCGTATCATACTTATTAAGACTGTTTTATGTATAACAATGAAGCCTACAAGATATCAAGACCTGACTTACATGTTGACGTACATTTGTATGTGTTCTGTATTTATCAGGTGTACCTGTTTCTGGTACGTGTTTATTAGTATCTAAGTAGTTGACTATTTGCAATTTTTTGTTGTGTGTGTACGTATTTACTTTCTGTGTATCCCCACATCACATGCGGTTTCTCTTTAGTCTTTATTCCGGTGGGTGGTTTTTTAATACCCATAACAACCATTTACGACAAGATAGAAGACTTAGAGTATGTATAAAAACGATTCCGAAAATCAATAAAATTTGAGAAATTAAGTGATTGTTTAAAAAATGTTTATCAGATAAGTGCTTACTGGTAAAAATCGTCATCCTCACTCATCTTATATCAGCCAATATTTCAGACCACCAAAATGAATTGTTGATGAGCTTTTTTACGCAGTAAGCATTTGTCAGATAAGAGTTTTCTCCCTTACTTACCGAGCAATATCTTTGGTCCTTGACAAGCTCATCCAATAAGGCAAGTGACACCCAATGAACACTTACCAGATCAGAGTATTTTAAACGGCCCCTAAGTTGATCAACGGTAATATTTTGTTTTGGATGATTTATAGTCATTTTAATTCAGTTTGTCTTTTGAAGAAAAAAAAAACAAAAATCTCCAAATTTGAAGAAAATCTATAAAACTCCGTATTTAAATAATATAATCTATACTACCTTATAAAGCAGATTTCAAAAGTCTTAAAAATAATTTTTAATGCACAAAGTACTATACATTTATGTATAAAGTCTTAAAAACAACTCATAATGCATTAAGTACTACTATTTTATGCATTCAGTCTTAAAATATCTTAATCCACCAATAAAATAACGTATAGTATAAGTTATCAATGCACATTTTTACATTTTCTTTTCATGTTCTCAAGATACTTTTGACATCTTTGACTCATGCATTCACTATTTCATACCTTTATGTCTTGTCCCCATCTTCTAATGTGAGATTCAAACTGATATTCACCATGAGTTATAAAAAGTTCTCACATTCATCTCTCATTAAATTGCTCTAGAACTCTCGGTCTCGATCTCTTGATTCTTCGCGGTTGGTGTAAATCGAATATATTTGTGGATTTGTTTAAATATATTGCATTTTAAACTGTCATACAATTTTTTTTCATCGATAGACTGTAATTGAAACCATAACTCTTATTTATTCAAATTGTATTAATATGTAAAGACTCAGTGTAACTTATATCGTCGTTAAATCTTCTCTAATAAAATAATAAAACTTCAAAATCTTTAAAATTTACGGCTCCCGTCACATCACACGGATACACAACTAGTAACTAACGAATATAATTTCTTTTAAATACTTTATTTAAAAAAAAATTAA